AACATCGTTAGAACAGAACATTGGAAGACCTAGCAAGCTAACTACGCTGGCTGGATGGCAAAATCTTTTGACCGAGATTGATATGGTTACCAGTATGCCTCGTAAAGGTGGCATACACTTAAGACCCTCGGTGTACTAGTGGAACGATCATATCAGAGCCCTTCGTAAAGAGTGCTTTAAGAAAAGAAGAATTTATCAGCGTGGCTATCAACAACCTTACCCTGAGAAACTGATTGCACAGTACAAAAAAGCTCGTTGTGCATTGAAGAAGGCCACCAAAAAAAGCAAAGTTAGCTGCTGGAAAGAGCTCATATGTGAAGTGGACAAAGACGTGTGGAGTAGGCCTTATAAGATGGTTATGATAATAAATCTCCGTGATTGGAAAGAATCCCTAACATAGCCTTAAAAATATCATATCAGGCAGCGCCGTCACTATTTCTAGACGTCTACAACACATGCCTTTAAGAAGAGTTTTTTCTCAGAAAGTGGAAACAACAACGACTTGTACTTCTTCCTAATAAAAATAAGCCAGTAGAAGAACCGTCATCCTGCCGTCCACTCTGCATGTTGGATACGGCTGGTAAGATATTCGAACGAATAATTCATCAAAGAATTTAAGCAATCGTTGACCCACTTCTGGCAGACAACCAATATGGATTCCGGAAAGAACGAAACCCTAGGAACAAGATAGAAGGGCGGCACGATGGAGTATTGCCTAGTGGCCACACTAGATGTCAGGAACGCTTTCAACTGCGCAAACTGGAACTACATTATGCAAGCCCTTCAAGAAAAGAAAGTTTCATGTTACATAATGGTTGTACCTTAATGCTCAGTTCTTGTGCCACTGCTGGGGAACGCTATGTACGACGGGATTTGCGACTAAAGAATCCAAGACGCGCTAAACTAGTGGCATATGTGGACGACGCAGCCGTAGTGATTGTCGCAAAATATCTAGATGAAATACGCCATTTGTTCAACGTAACCTTTGAGATAGTAAATCGATGGATGGATACAGTTAATCTTCAACTAGCTAACCAGAAGACAGAAACAGTACTCATCACCAGTAGAAAAATTATAGTGACTATAAAGTTAAAAGTCGGTGAACAAGAAATCATATCGCAACCTTATATTCGATACTTGGGAGTGATGCTCGATGCCGGACAAAATTTCAAAGAGCAGGAAAAACAAGTAAGCGACAAAGCATCAATAATGGGTTCTTGACTTGCACGATTAATGCCTAATATCGGTAGACCAAAGCAGAGCAGAAAACTTTTCATCAGTGGTTACCTCGGTGCTCACGTATGGAGTATCTATTAGGGCAGATGCACTAGAGCTCCAAGAAGCACGGAGAAAAGTTAGTCCTGTCGTGCCTTACAAGTAATATATGGCTTTCGCACAATATCTGAGGAAGGGGTGTGTGTCATTGCCCCGACATCGCATCTTATCTGAGCTAAGGAAAGACGATACCTTTACCAACGCAGGTCATCGACATTAAGCGCTGAGGAACTCAACACCGAAGAACGCCGTAACAGCATAAGACGTTGGCAACTACAGTGGAAAGCCACAGAAAAGGATGAGTGGGCGCACCGACTCATACCTAATATTGACGTTTGGACGAACCGGAGGCATAGAGAGGTCAACTACTATCTAACGCAGATGCTGTGTGGACGCGGCTGCTTTCGGGATTATCTTCATCGCTTCAAGCACGATGATATTCCCGAGTGCCCAGTTTGCAGAGAAGTTAATGAAGATACAGAGCATGTTTTGTTTAAGTTTTGTCCACGTTTTGTCCGAGTTTTGTCCGCGCTTTAAACTGGAAACAATCCCAAAGCAGAGAATTCGACCAGAAACACTAATGTAAGCAATGCTATCACCAGAAGCAGCCTGGAGCTCTAATAGTACGTATGTTACAGAAATCCTCATAGTACTGCGTCACATTGAGAGGAAAAGAGCGATTCATATGACGGAATTATTATACGTTATTTAATAAAATTTGTATAAATGTCTTCGTAAATAGAGATATCCAAATTATCTTAATTGTTATTCTAGCAAAAGGTTCTACCAAATTGAAATTATATGCTTAGGCAATATTTTGTTTAAAGCTACAAACGAGACGTTTTGAAAGTCTTGGTAAACCCATTTGAGATATTAAAACATTGTAAAACTCCTAAAATAGTTAAGAAATTTTCAGCAAAAGAGAATAATTATTATTCGCTAGATTTGCTATACCTAAAATACAATCAAAGTATAATTAATGGAATAAATGATGAACCGTGGAGAAGTATATCGTTAGTAGAACATTATACAGCTTTTTGTTATAACAATACAAAAAATAGATCAATAAACTATGTTTAATTTCCGTGATAATTCAAATTTATGCTTTAGGTTTAAGTTTTATATAACCACATTTTGGAGAGTTAATTCACTTGAAAATTGGTGTTACTAAACTGTTAAGTAAATATAAAGAGATAAAGCACAACATATTGCTGTCAAATTATTATTGACATTAAATGCTTTATTAACTTTCCGTAGCTTAATCGCAAAAAAATCAAATATGAAATTTTTTTTATATCTTTACGTTTAACGGTTTCTGAACATTTTGACATACCTTAGACTGATGTTTGTGTGTGTGTGTGCGCGCACGTGTGTGTGTGCGGATACAACTTTTTTGCAACGATTTCGGCAACACCGACCAATTGATTTGAATAATTCAAAAAACATTTGATTCGTATTGATAAGGAACGTGCTGATTAGTTTTTGGCGAAGGCATGTCTAGCCGTTCCAAAGATACGGGGCAAAAAGTACCAAAAAGCGGTAACTCAGTTTGTAATAAAACGGAGCATCCAATTTTAATAGTTTAAAAAATATTTTACTTGTATTGACAAAATAAAAAACTGATTAAATTTTTGGGAAGACAGTTCCAGCGGTTAAAAACTCTCAATAAAAATAAAAACGCCATTTGGCCGTCAAAAATGTTCATTGGACATATGTACATCAAATTATCAGCTATTTTATAGAGAATTTAATAATGTGTGCAGATTTTGTGTAATTTTTTTGGGTTCCGTACCAAAAATTTTCAATCTAAAATTCACGTAAATAGTTCAAACAAATGTCCTCGACATATTGGACAGTCTGGAATAACCGACTTGAATAGTTTACAAAAACATTCGATTCGTATTGATAAGAAGGCGTGCTGATTTCTTTTAAGGTATAGGCAGGTCTACACTTTTTTTCAACAGTTAATTACAAGAAAACGGCTCGGTAGATTTTTACCTAAAATTAATCAGTACCATTCCCAACTAATATCTTTCGAACGATTTTTGATTTTTTAAAATCGGTTCGGTAGGATGAGCTTAAATGTGGACGAAAAGTTTAACACTTTTTTTCAAATTACAAAGAAACGGCTTGGCAGATCGTTGCACAAAACTGACAAACGATAGTCCTTACCGAAATACATCAAATGGCTTTAAAATTTCTAAAATCGGTTCAGGCGTTTTTGAGAAAACGTCGATCAAAAGTCTAATTTTGACAAATGCCAAAAAAACCATACTGATTTTTGCAAACTTTGACGAATTTTTAAAGCTGAACCAGTTGTCGTAGGGCCGTAATATTTTAGTATGACCTAGAAAATTATGGTATCTATCGTCAAAAAAATAATCATAAAAATCGTCGAATTTTTTTTTTTTAAACTTTATTACAAGAAAACGGCCCGGCCGATCTTTACCAAAAACTAATCAGCACGATTCCCAACCAATATCTATCGAACGGTTTTTGAATTTTCAGAATCGATTCAGAATTGCGGGCTAAAACGTGGACGAAAAATTTTTCACTTTTGTGCAATTTACAAAAAAACGGCCCGGCCGATCGCCGCACAAAACTCAGAGACGATAGTCCTCATCGAGATACATCGAATGGCTTTTAAATTTTTGAAATCGGTCCAACCGTTTTGGAGAAAACGTCGATTTACGGCAAAAAATCTGTTCACATACACACACACACACACACACACATACACACACACACACATACTTTTTCCAAATTTGGTCTCATTCGATTCAGAATGGCTTGAAACGTCGAGAAAACATAAAATTAGCGATTCGAATTTTTTGATGAAAACATAAACTTCTCCTTCGGCAAGTTAAAAAAATAACATTTGGCGGTCAAATGATTATTAGACATACGAGAGAGATTTTAATAATGATTTCCCATTTTGTGTCAATTTTAATGTTTAAATTTAAATTTTACGTAAATGGTTCAAATAAATGTCCCCGACATTTTTGACAGTATGGAATAACCGAATTGTATGATTGAAAAATCATTCGGTGCGTACTCGATCGCGAGGCGTTTTTGCAAAAGCGAATGAAGGGTGTAAAAATGATCATGCAGTTTTTGAGAGAACAGATCATCCAATTACATTAATTCAAAAACTCATTTTGCTTGAGTAGACGGTGTGCAAAAAAATGCATTTACAGAAAACTTAGTAATTTCAAAAAATTTAAAAAAAAAATTCAAAAATTTTCAAAAAAAATTTCAGTTAAAAAATTTTTTTTCGAAATTTTTCATCATTTTCAAAAAAAAACTAAATTTTAAGAAATGTCAAAAATATCAAAATTAAAAATAATTGATTTCTTACAAACATTTGAGAATATTCCGAAATTTTCAAAAAAAAAAATCGAATATTTTCAAAAATTTTGAAAAAACTTTAAAATTTTGAAAAAAAATCTAAATTATCAAAAAAATCAAATTTAAAAAAAAAATACAATTTTTTTGTAAAAATAAACATGAGTTGCTTATAAAATTCGCTCGTCGCCCAATTCAATAAGCACAAATTTACAGTATGTATTTATAACAAGTAAACTATATGAAATTGTCAAAACAATTATTGATTATTTTCATTCCTCAAATTACGGTAATTCGATTCCTAATTAATTACGGTACGGGAAGTTCCAGCAATTTTCCTGAAGGCACAACGTCATACACCACTAGTTAGTTACCCTTACCTCATGCACAGGTGACTTGAAAATACGAATGTGAGAGCCGATCAGGCCTGGCATAGAGCAACCAGCAGAGATCGCCCATATCACAGTTGCGGCTGCAACTGTACTTTTGGTTGAGTAGCGTCCACCTCCTGCAATAATAAAATCATTATTAAATCGATATTTACATTATTAAATGCTTTCATTAGAGCATATGTAGTGTCTCTTACAAACTTTACATTTCAACAAACTTTAGGTCATTTGAACTTTGTGTCTTGTGTTAAAATTTAAAATAATCTCTTCGACGACCGAGAGCCCTTGGTTTAGGTATTGACAACACAATATTCAACTAACTCTTAGTTTAATTACTCTTCAACTACAAGTGATTTACAGATTTGGAATATCGGCGGGCAATGTAATTCCTTCTTCTCGCCTCGGGTTCGGGTTTATAACTGACCTTATCAGGTTGAAAACTAAAATCTTTCAGAGCGAGTAAACGGTGGATTGCTAGATATATCAACCTGATGCAATGCGCCAAGGGCATGCAACCGTTATTCTTATATCAAGTTTTTATAAATTATTTAGTCCTATAAACTCTCACGTGTTAAAATTAGAGTTTCACTCGAACGATTTAGTTACATCTTGGTTCAATGCACCGCCAATGAGAAGACTCAAACGAAAATGACCCACTGATACAACTGAGTACTTATTTATAAAGCTCTCGCTGGAGAGATTTGAATACTATAAAACTATCTCACTTAATTTTTCATGTTTGTACATTTGTTTGTGTTTGTATATAATTATATATGTATGTAATTTCATGTAATGTATGTTCAGTTAAACAATTTTGCTCAATAGCGTATAGAAATTTGTAATTTTTGATTGCTGTTAATAAATATATATATAAAAAAAATATATATATATAGTCCTATAGAATAAGGTTTTTTACTAAACATATATATATATATATATATATACATATATATATATATATATATATATATACATGGTCTGTTCAAAAAGTACCCGGAATTACTAATAATTAAATTTCGCGGGTCTGGAGTGTCTGATTGTCAAAATTTTTTTTTATTGTGTTGGTATACATGCCCCTAAAGTATGATGAAATTTTCAGCTATATTCACTGTTTACTTTGTCTGTGGTAGTCGCTAAGGTTCGACGTGTTTTTCTGAGCTCGGCGATTTTTACAATGGAAGAATTGAAAAAGTCAAAGAATTTGTATTAAATTTTGCGTAAAAAATGAAATAAAGTGTTGCAAAGTGCAAAAATTCACCAGATATGGCTCCGTGTGACTTTTTCCTATTCCCAAAGTTGAAGAGACCCATGAAAGGACGGCGGTTTTCCTCGATTGAAGAAAATCGCCGAGAGTGCTCAAGGACATATCAAAAAGTGAATATCAAGGGTGCTTCGAAAATTGGAAAAAACGCTGGCATAAGTGTATTATATCTGGGGGGGACTACTTTGAAGGGGACCACATTAATGTAGACGAATAAATAAATATTTTTTTGAAAAAACGAAAATTACGAAAACTTTTTGAACAGACCTATGTATATATATATATATATATATATATATATATATATGCTTTAAAGATATTTAAGGGCGTTATATCTACAAATACTGCATGATTGTCTTTTTTAAAAATTTATTTTAAATCCACACGTTTCGACTAACATTCTAGTCTTCATTCAATCGAATATCAATTGGTATTGGTATCCTTAATTAATGAAACACTATTGCACCATAATATTAAAATGTTCACAATTGTAAAATTATTTTGGCTTGACGTAAAGGTCTGTGACATCTTGTATATATATATATATATATATATATATTAGGGTGGTCCCTTGCCTCCAGGAGCTCAAATGCTTCCAAATTGATAAAACAAAATTGATTATAAAAACACGAATCCCAACCGATTTCTTTCGAACGGTTCTTGAATTTTCAAAATTGTTTCAGAATTGCGGGCTAAAATGTGGACAAAATATTTTTTACCTTTCTGCGATTTACAAAAAAACGGCTTGGCTGATCATCGCGCAAAACTAACAAACAATAGTACTCATCAAGATACATCGAATGGCTTTTAAATTTATGTTATTGATCCATCCGTTTTTGTGAAAACGTCGATTTAAAGTAAAAAATGTATACACACACACACATACTTTTTTCCAAATTTGGTCTCATTCGATTCAAAATTGCTTGAAACGCCGAGAAAACATAAAATTAGCGAATCAAATTTTATATGAAAACATAAACTTCTCATTCCGAAAGTTAATAAAACTACAAATAAAATTACACACTACAATTAAATAATATTCATTTGAAACACCCTATTAAATTTAAATGAAGATAACCTCTCAAAATCATTTGAAATTTGAAGTATGAGCCGCAGTCGATTGTTTCAATTTAAATTACGCTACAACTTTTTTTAACATTATTTAACAGTAGTCAGAACATATTGTTGTTATATGGCTGTTTGGTTCAATATTAACTCAAGTAGTGTCTCTGTAAGGCTCGACTCCATAGTTTTTTTTTTTTTTTTTTTTTTTTTTTATATGATTTATTGGCTTTATAAGCTAGTACATTAGCCATATACTAAATTACATAATATCTACACTATCTCTTAAAGTCTAGTCTTACGTATATGTATATCATTGTTTTATGTATATTTCTTTTATAATTTTTTATTATTAGATTTGATGTAAGTATAAAGAGCACGATATAATCTTGTATCTGTCAGCACTGTTTTAAAATTAATTGGAAGGGAGTTTTTTTGTTTGATTATTTCCTCCTCATATTTTTGTCTGCCCTTTCCCAACGTTTACACTCCATGATGATGTGCTCTGCATCCATCCGCCCTAGTCGCTTCACCCAAGCAGTAGCAACTAGGATCGATATCGATCCCAATTCTGCTTAGGCAGAATGGAGCGTATGAATGATTGAGTCTTAATCTACACAATGTAGCGTAAAACGGCCGACATTCCGTAAATCCGTCATACCATGGTTTGACTGGAATTTTTCCTTGTATCATACCATAAAATTTACCTTTAATTCTAATAGATAACTGGAAATCTAATTGCCGAATGTTCCGTATGTTTGCTCTGTTAAATCTTTTTATGTCTCTATAAGATATTCCATCCGCAGCAACAGTCCCTGTATTTATTGCATCTTTGGCGCCGTTATCCGCCGCTTCGTTGCCAGCTATCCCAATATGGCTTCTTACCCATACAATGCGTAACTCCCAATTTTTTTATAATATTGCATGTATGTCCATTTAGTGTATCCTATCGTTAATAATGACGGGTCCTTTCCCAACGACACCAATGCCCTCAAGAGCAGACCTGCTATCGCTGATTATGACCGATTTCTTCACATTATGTTTCATCAATATACTTTACGCACCTATTAATAGCCGTACATTTCCGCTGTATATATCGACGCATCTTTATCTAGTTTATATTTTGTGAAGGAATTTGTCCCTGATGGTAAAAACACGCACCACACCATCTGAATTCTTCGAACCATCTGTATAAAATATACATATCTCCAATGTTTCATGTATACTTCCTTCGACTCCATCTACATTTATTGGTATCTCCGCTATAATGCGCATTGGCGAAAATCGATTTGAATTTATTTTTCAAATTAGAAGAAGTAACATCGTATTTGTAAATGAAATCTTGAGGTTGCAGTCACAAGTTTGTAAGAGATTACATTTTTCTATTCCACCCACTTCACGATACGCAGTTATTAGTGTAGGCCTCTTCCTATTTTCTCCAGTATGGGCTGTTCAGTTCATTATTGATCTGATTCACATTCTTTAATACTACGTTTTAAATTTCATTCTATCTATGATAAGTTTGAAGCCAATAACCTCCTTCTCAAGTGTAAAGGATATATGTTAGCTTTCAACATGTAAATCATGTGATAGGCGTGAACGCATGACCCCCAAACAAGACCTCAAAGCTTTGTTTTGGATTGTGTCTAGTTTGCTAAGTACACTTTTGGATGCGTCGCCATATATGAAACTACCATTATCCAACTTAGATAGTATTAATTGCTTATATATTCTAAGAGAAATCTTGATATCAGCACCATAATTTATGTGATTAAGAAACCTGAGAATATTCATTGCTTCTTCACATTTAGAGACTAGATAATCGATGTGTGGTTTTCATTTTAATTTGTCATCAATAAGTAGCCCGAGACATCTAATTGTAGGTTCAACCTTCAAAACATAATTGCTTATGCTGATATAGTCTGGAATTATAGACTTCCTATGTCTTGTAAAGAGACTTATTGTACTTTTATTTCCTGACAAAAAAAAACCCAACGATGTGCACCAATTATGGAAGAGTTGCATTGTTATATTCATTTTATCAATAGCCTCATTCAAAGTATGAGCCTTATGTAGAAGTATAATATCGTCCGCGTACTGCATAATTTTGACATCCAGATCTAGCTCGGTTTGTAACTTGCAGGTATACATATTGAATAATAGCGGACTAAGAACGGATCTTTGAGGTAGTCCTTCTTTCATTTTACGTGGTCCAAATTGTAAATTGTTACACCTGAGATTGATTCTGCGGTCTGATATGAGATGGTGTATATGAAGAATAAATCTTCTTGGCATCTTCATATCAGACACAATCTTCATTAATATAGGTATTTGAACGCAGTTATATGCATTAACTAAGTCCACGTTTGCAGTCATCATGAGATTATTTTTTGTTAAATTAATTTTGATTTCATACACTAAGGATGTGATAACGTCAATCGTACCCCGGTTATTACGAAAGCCTAGCATGCAACTCGGGAATATCTTGTTGCTTTCCGCCCATCATTCCAATCTTCTTTTGATCCGTCGTTCGAATGTTTTTGCTATGCATGAAGACAATGATATAGGACGATATGATTCCGCTCTTGAAGGATCTTTACCTGGTTTAAGAATTGGAATTGTAATTATAATTTTTCACTCGTGAATAGCTGTTTCGGTGGTCCAAACTTTGTTAAGAACCCGTAGTAACATATTCTTACCAAAACTGGATAATTTATTCAACATTGGATAATGAATATTGTCCGCACCCGGTGTAGTGTTCGCATTTGTTTTTAGTGCCTAAAGAAGCTCCTGCAT